AGCAGTAGTAGTAGTAGTGGTGGTAGGAGCAGTAGTAGTCGTCGTGGCAGCCGCAGTAATACGTTGTCGTCGTCGTCGTCGGCCACATCTCACTGACAGTTCGTGGACAAGCTGCCGTAGGCTTGGCAGCCGCGAAGGGCGCACTGGCACCTCCACAGGCGACCAGAAACTGTGGCAAAATACTTGTATGAGTCTTGTCAAGGGTTTAGGGCCAGAGACCGCAATGCAGCAAAGCAGCTCGGCAAACTGGAAGCCACCGGTGGTTCTCCGAAAGGATCTGTTGATGCCGGCACCTAGTGGCTGCAGTTTAGCAGCCTCGACTGTTTGGCTTTCCTGCGTTGTGGTGCACACCTGGATCTACAAGCATCTTGTCACTTGCAACAGCATATCTCAACTTGACAAGCTTGCTGCTGCGCATGGATATCATTTTCGACACTGCCGTGCATGCAACCCCTGACGTTTTGTAGCCCTTTCAGCCAAGCTGCGCTCGGCTGGGTCATGGCCGCGCCAGCTGCGAAAGGCACACTGGCACCTGTGCTTGGGCGACGTGCACCTACATATTATGGAACGTATGGACCGCGGCAAGCAACACGCTCCGATCCCCAAGCCCCACATCCCAAAAGCGCAGTACCTCAACAGTCAAAGCAGTGCTGCAAAGGAGCTCGGCTGACTGAAAGCCGCTGGTGGCTGCTGGAAAAAGTCTGCCGGTTCCTCGGCACATGCTCGGCACTGGCATACCCAAACTTGACAGAAAAGGAAAGCCCGTGGTACGGTCATTGCTGCTCCGCAATCAAGATTTATGAGATTCGATGAGCTCGTGAGAGGCTGGCATTTTAAAGGCAACTCAAGATGCGGCCAATTGAAACCTCGAGTCAGAAAGTGAAACATGAAACGAAACTCATAGGAACGAGTGTCCGTTTTATGTGGAACCTAGACCTACGCCATTACGCCATGTTCTCGGTCTGGGAAAAGATCCCTGATCCTGATCTAACTTTAGTCTCGATTCGCCGAATGTTGACCGATTCTAAGTTCTCAAAACGTGCTGTATTGCTAGCTAGAACTCCAACATCACAACTTGGGAATCAAGCTTCTACAGAAGTCCCACATTCCCTGTTTGCAAGGAAACCCCTTGATTCCCGATGATGCAGTCTGATGCAGTGTATTTCCTCTTGAATTCCGGCAGTATACTGCAATTGCAGCCAAGCTTCTCTTGGCTGGGTCATGGCCGCAGCAGCCGCGAAGGGTGCGCTGGCGCCTTCGCATGGGAGACAAGCACGTAGGTAAGCCCAAAGCACCACATCCTAAAACCTGCAAATTCCGCAGTCGGATCAGTGCCGCAGAGGAACTCGGCTGACTGGCAGCCACCGGTGGCTCTCGGAAAGGATCTGCCGGTTCCTTGCCAGTTGCAAATTGGCGGTCGTAGCTGCAGGCTTCTACAAAGCCATATTGTGACTGCGTATGAAACCATCTTCGAAGATGTCTCGCCTCTCCACTACTGACTGTTCGCGCGTGTCCGAACCTATGCCGTTACCAAGCTCTTGCAGCAACGCTTCATTCGGCTGGGTCATGGCCGCGGCAGCTGCGAAGGGTGCGCTGGCGCCTGTGTGTGAAAGTCGCGACTCCAACGAAGAGAAACCTTGTGCGCTCACACGAGCCCCCTAAAACCTAAACCCTGAAATCCTGATCCCGAAAATCTTTGACTCCTACCGAAGCCCTCGATCTCGAACTATTAACCCTCAAAGCCTGAAGCCCTAACCTCTAAACTAAACCCCAAACTCTAAACCCTACCAAAACCCATAAAACCGTACCACAACTTTGCGGCCAAAGGAGCCGGTCGGAGTGGAGCCTACCGCGGGCTCCCTGAAAGGGTCTGCCTCGAGAGGAGGGCCTATTTAGTGCGGCTTCTACTGCACTAAAATGGTGTAGGGTTTAGGGTCTAGGGTTCATCGAGCACCCTGCCCGGAACGCCTTCCCCCAAACCCTAAACCTGTTGCTCGTCCGGCGGGTCTCTGTGCATGTCATCACTTGTAGCAGGGGCCATGCTAATCATCACGAGAAAACACGGTGCATCCTGCTACGATTCTTTCTGCGACTTGAGCCATGTCACAACGCGTCACCGCATGCGGACTTCTGCACATCTTTGCACACCCGCAGCCTTGGTGAGTCCTGAAACTGATCGCTCAACACTCCTCCTCATCGCTTGGTGTAAACCCGGCGACCAACATGAATGGTCGTTCACGGTCACAGTAGCTGCACAGCCTGAATGTCGTTGGCGGGTCTGTAGCATTCCGCTGTCCATGACACCCAGCTATCGTATGAATGCAGTCACCGTGAGGAGCGGAACGAAATGGGCCGTCAAATCTTTGAAACCTTCGAGTGTCTATCCGGTTCGGTCCTCTATAGGGCTTCCCTGTTTGCGTAGCCGTCGTCCTGGTAATAACAGACACCGTCCTCCTTGTAGGCAAAGGACTGGTAAATCCCATTCCATACTGTCTATCCACGGCCGGTGTACGAGGTAACATAGTCTCCGTCGGTCCACTGTGAGGGACACAGTGACTGGCCCTAGATCGGTACCGAGCCGTGCGGGTTTGCCTGGTGTCGCTCCTCTGTGCAAGCTTCACAGCTCTGCAGCCGCCTGTGAGGCCTGTGTTTGCTGGGATGTGGTTGCCATGTCCTGCAGCAGGCATCCTTCGGTGAATGCCTGTACAAAGTACCCGCGTAGCTGGCTTCACATGACGTGGATGCCAAATTTTCAATTTTGGCGCCTTACTTTTTCTCATCTTCTCTTTTGGCGTGTGTTGTTCTAGACCTTTCGAGGTAAGTCAGTTACTTGCTGGGTGATTCAGAATCCCCGGATTGCTTCACCTTGCTCCCTAGTTGGAGCAGTCTGTAGATACAGACGTAGCATACGCTGGTTAGCTGCATGATCGCAAGATCTGACTGCGTGTGGAAATGGAAATGGGAAAATGGTCTCGAGGTCGTTGCGCTGGTAGTCCTTGGAGCACTGGTCTCATGATGTAAGCGTCGTCGTAGTTCTTCATTCACCGCTGCTTCCGCTTTCGTCCTCAGCCTTTCTAGTCTTCGCTGCTTCCGCTGCCATGACATCCACCACGACTTCCCCATGTCAGCAATCTTCTTGACCATCTCCCATATTGCCACACAAGCCACAATACCCAAACCAACGACCACGTAGAGCTCAAGCGAGCCATCGAGCTGCAGGTCCTCGTTGACACTTACCCGAGCTCCTTGAACTATCATATAACACACCATTATGAACATCAACAAGCTCTCGTTGCTTCGCTTCTTTGCCGTCTTCATCGCAATCTCGGTCACCTCAACAATCTCAAAGGGTATAATCCGCAACAGCCCTCGTAACGACTTGAACTTGGGCACGTCAAAGCCCTTTGTACCCAAATCTGCCTTGTGCAAGTCGCCCGGCACATGACTTATCGTTAATCGTTGAGCTGCAACCTCCTGGCATAGAAAACGTGCACATAGCCTTAAGTGGCGTGTCTTCCAGCTCCCGGGTGCCTCCGAAGCCAAACCCTGCACCGCCGCATTGTCAATCTTCAGGCGAATAACAGGTCTCTCACCCGACTCGTTCAACATGGCTTCCACATCCAAACCAAGCTGCACAGAACTGACTGCCTTATACATCTCCGCCTCAGCATCTGAAAGAGTTGCAATAGGCTGCTTTGCAGCCTTCCAACAGACAGGCATCCCGGCCACTTGAGCCATAATACATCCAAACGACCGTCCTCCTCCTGGTGCGTATGACGCGTCTGAATACACTGTCAATAAGGTCTCCTCCTCATCCTTGACGTAGTGCAAGCCATACTCCACAGTCTTGGAAAGGTAGTTCATGACTCGTTTAGCTATCTCGAGTACCTTTGCTGGATTCCTTGTCGCCCTTGAAGCCATGCATGCCACCGGGTGTGACAACTCTGGTCTCGATTTTGTAGACAGCCACAGAATCTCGCCCGTAGCTTGTTGGGCCAATCTTATCACTGCTTCCTCAGCCGGCTTGACCTCCATGTGGGACTCCTCGTCTTGCAACCATTCCCTGGCACATGGCACCGTCAGTGAACCCGGTTTTTCTGGTACACCATGTTGACGAAGTAAGTCCCGAATGTAGCCCGCTTGTGAAACGTGGATCCCGTTGCCCATAAGACGAAGTTCGACACCCAGAAACCGAAGATACTCTTCAGCCATCCATTGTAACGACGAACACTTCCATTCCTCTGTAAGCCACTTGTAGACTGCTTCAGTCATCTTCGTCTCGGACAGAAGTAACAAGTCGTCCACGTAGATCAGCAGGATGCCCTTGATCTCGTCACTTCCTTCAAACAGGATCCGCCACACATTTTCTTCAGTTTCCAGATTCTTGAAAATGGGAACATCACCGTCCACAGGAATACGGGCATTCACCAATCTTTCGTTCCTGAAAACCCTCCACCATCTAGGAGCTTCACGAAGTCCATACAAAACGCGCTCAATGATCCACGTCTCACCAGCTGCTGCTTGGGGTTTAGGGTTTAGGGTTTAGGTTTTGGGTTTAAGGTTTAGAGTCCCAAAGCATGTTCATTCCTCTCTCCGTACTGTGGCCCCCTGGTGCAGCTGGGGTGCCCTCGCTGCCGTGGGTGCCGGTTCCGCGACACCTGTTAAGTGCTAAGGGTTTAGGACGTGGAGCTTGGAATTTTGAGGCTTGGGGTTTCGGGTTTGGGTTGAGGGCTTCAGATTCAGGATCTAAGGACTTTGTAGACAAACAAGAGTTCAGAAAACTTGCCATGTACGAGAGCAACTAAACCCGAAATCCCACATGTCAAAGCACAAGAGGGGATTGTGCTAAACCCTAAACCCTAAACGCCTAAACCCCAAAACGCTAAACCCTAAACACAAGAAGGGAGCTGCAGACGCAAAAACTTTCGGTTTGGGGTCTTTAGGGTTCAGGGTTTTAGGGCAAGGCTTTAGGGTTTTGGGCTCAGGGTTTCAGGTATTAGTGTTTAGGGTCTAGGGTTTTAGGGTTTTGGGCTTTAGGGTTTTAGGGCTTTGGGTTTAGGGGGCCCCAAACCCCAAACCCGAGTCTAAAATCCGTCAAGCCACGCCTCCGCCTGGAAATCTCGAACACTGCGGGATACAGCTTCCACGGTTCGGCTCTGGGCTTTCATCTTCGACGAAGTCCTTCCCTTGTCGTGCAGAGGATGTAGCAGGAAGGGATCTGGCCGCCCCTAAACCCTAAACCCCTAAACCCCTAAAACCCTAAACCCCTAAACCTTAAACTGCCCTAAACCCTAAACCCTAAACTCTGAAACCTAAACCCTAAACCCCTAAACTCTGAAACCTAAACCCTAAACCCCTAAACCCTAAACTCTGAAACCCTAAACCCTAAAACCCCCGCCCATTTTTTCCCTGCCTGTCGGAACCGCAGCTGCATCTGCCGCCTCCTGGTTGCTGTGGGTTCGGCTGCGAACATCGGCCTTTGTTTGATGCTTGGTGTCTGTGTAGGGTTTAGGGTTTGGGGTTTAGGGTTTAGGGTCTAGGGTTTTGAGGGTTTAGGGTTTGGGGTTTAGGGTTTAGGGTTTAGGGCGACATTTAATCTACTACATTGTTACTACATAGTACCATGAGGATCATTGTTATCACGATGACGACAGTTATGATTATGACTAACCTGCACAGCTTTCACTTTATATTACTGTTCCAATTTACTTATCTTGCTATTACCGTTCCCAGTACTTCATCCAATAGTATAGGGCTTCCCAACAGCTTCAACATTTAGGGTGTAGGGTTTTAGGGTTTAGGGTTCAGGGTTCAGGGTTTAGGGTCTAGGGCTTGTTAGATCGGCGATGCTGCTACTATCGACCCTGCGCAACGCAGGCACCCGGTATGACATAATATAGAGGCCTAAATAATTACCAATTCTATTTTGGGCGCTCCTTATTACAAGTAAAATATAATGGGCCCCGACGCCCTATTCTTTTTATTACGGCCCCTATATTAAGGGCTTAGGGCTTAGTGTTCAGGTGTGTTGCGTTTTTTTGCAACAGGGGTTTGGTGGCGCCTTGCATGAATCGAATGCTCAGTATAAAGTTTATTGCTTGACGTGTCCAAGGGGCCAGATGCTATGTTCAGCGTATGTTTTAAATGCTGCATTGGGGTTTCGCATCACTGATACAGAAGGCCCTGAACATCTGGGGTTGCTTCTCGTTCTCGACAATGCCTACACTAGAACTCCCAGTAAACGAACGTCGCCATTAAGCCTGCAATTGGTACCAACTTCCAGATACTGGAAGTTCCAAGTAAAGAAGCACTGAACCCTGAAACCTAACCCCTAAACCCTAAACCCTAGCCCTAAACCCCGCACCCTAAACCCTAAACCCAAAGCCCCAAACCCTACACCTTACCCATAGGCCCCTAAGTAGTTCCTTGTTATGGTGTATATTTAGAACACTATAAGGTACTCCCAAAAAGGAGCTACTTAGGGGCCTATGGGTACACCCTAAACCCTAAAACCCCCCCTAAACCTCAAAGCCCACACCCTCAAGGCTTCCGACAGCTAAGCGCCGGGACGTCCTCCAGGCCATCAGGAACTCCCCGCTGTCGCCAGCGCCTGCTCTTAGGATTTGGGGAGTTGGGGTTTAGGGTTTAGGCTTTAGGGCTTGGGTTTAGGCTTTAGGCTGTAGGGTTTAGGGTTAGCGCCTAGTCTTAGAGCGTAAGGTTTAGGGTTTTAGGAATGTTTAGAGGCCTTACTAAGAACTACTGACTACTGGGATGGGTGATTTGTTGTCGCTTGTTGAGGGTGTCTACTATAACTATGACTTTTGAAAAGGAACTCTGAGCAAGCATTCGTAACTAGCCCGACCCCTAGAAAAGACACTTGGGCTGGTCGGCTTTAGGCCTTCCTTTCGCTGCTCTCTCTCTCTCTCTCTCTGCTTGCCTTGCTTTGTTGGGTACTATATTAGGGTACTACATGAGGGTACTATATTAGGGTACTATATGAGGGTACTATATGAGGGTACTATATGAGGGTACTCTATGATGATGATGATGATGATGATGTCCATGCCCCTACTCATAGGCCTACTACTCCCTCGACTACTACGACTGCCACGAGGAATGGTACCTTATATACTTCGAGGCTGACGAGGCTTAAACCTCAAAGCTGGAAGAGCTCAGAAGAGCTCATAACCCCGAACCTTTATCCTACTTTAAGCCCCAAGCCGCAGTATACCATGCACCTCAGACCTTAGACCTAAAGGCAAACTTTTGGGATCCTCTGACTAGAGCATGAAACTCGCCGGATCACCGAAGGCTTCGACATCGAGGCCCCGAAGGGCAGCTTGAGGGTTTTGAGCTTAGGGTCTAGGGTTTTAAGGTTTAGGGTTTAGGGCTTACGGTTTGGGGCGTAAAGTGAAGGGTTTATAAGGTTTAGGGTTTAGGGTTCGCTATTTTTGGGTTTAGGGTGATGGTGGGCGGTTTGGAGCTGAAAAGCTGTTAGTCCTCTGTGCTGGCCGGAAATGTGCATCACATATCTGATTCTCTAAACTCTAATTGGCTCACTCATCGTCCAATGACTCGGTCCTCTTCTGCTCGGTACTTGAAGACACTGATGGGGCCGAAGGTGCAGGGGGATCCGCATTCTGACCCTCTTCAGTTCCAACGCTTCAGTTCAAACGACCTCATACCCTAAGCCCTAAATCCTAAGCCCTAAACCCTCAGGGGCATCTCGGATCTGCATCTGCAGGGGTGGAGCCTTCCAGCTGAGGCTGCGGACGTCAGTTTTGGGGCACCGATGCGTTGAATTATGCTGACGGTTTGGGGGTGAGGGTTCCGGTTTCTGGTGCACATGCCCACAGGCCACTGCGCACGAGTTGCAACGAGAGTTTCCTCTTCGGCCATCGGTTCGGCGTCCCAACCCTTTGCCCAACCGTCCAAGACCCCAAGCCGCTCAAATTCCAAAACCCCAAACCCAAAAATCCTATACGTGCCGTAAGCCCATTATTAAATTACAGGCCTGCCTGAACCCTTATCAAGCCCTCAAAAAACCAAAAAGTACCACTACACTGAAAAGGAGCACAACCCGAAACCCTAAAATGCAGGATCCTAGGCCCCAAGATCCCACACCCTAAAACCCTAAACCCCCAAATCCGAAAACGGGCGAAAGCCCAAAGCCTATAGCTGAACCCTTCATGTAACCCCCGTAGAGTCAGTGGTAGGGGTTTAGGGTTTAGGGTTGAGGGTGTGGGGTTTAGGGTTTAGGGTTTAACCCTAAACCCTAAAAACCCTAAAAACCCTAAAAACCCTAAACCCTAATCCCTATTTAGGGTTTAGGGCTTAGGACTCTCCCTGAGGTCGGCGCTGATGCTTCTCATCGAAGTAGAACCTCGGCTGGAGTCAGCAGGGCTCTCAGGATTCTTTGAAAGCCTTGGGGGCCGGTAGAAGGGATTTGGGGTTTAGGGCTTAGGGTTTGGGAGGGTTTAGGGCTTTGGGTTTAGGGTTTAGGATGACTTAGGGCTTAGGGTTTATAGGGTTTTGGATGACTTAGGGCTTCGGGTTTAGGGTTTAGGATGGTTTAGGGCTTAGGGCTGAGGGTTTAAGATGGTTTAGGGCTTGCGGCTTCGGCATAAGCCCTTACTGTAAAAGTTCTACTTCTTTAAAGCTGAATTTATCAAATTTTCGATTGGCAGACGGATCTTTAGGTTTGGGGCCTCAGGGTATCTGGCATCCCCCAAAGGCCGAAAGGAGTCTTTGTATCCCTGGACCCGAAACCCTAAAAAACCCTTGATAGTCCTAACTTGTGAGCTCCTTCTGCTCATATGGGAGTTTCCGAAAATAAGGGGTACCTTAATTTGGGGTCCTTATAATAAGGATCCTACTATTTAGGGTACTATGTTAGGGTCCCCTATTTTCAGAAACCCCCATATGAGGCTTCTTTGGTTCTCTCGGTGCACTGAGTCTCACAAGCAATACAATGGCTCTGCAATGTTCGAAGCTGTGCGCAACCCCTCTACCCCGAGCCCTCGGTGGTTCTGCTACCGCGACTAGTAGTATTCATGCGAACTGCCTATTGTTTTTGCTGCTCTTGTGGCAAGCCTTGCATACGTAGTCTCGCCAACATGGCTGAGATTATGCTTGCTGCTTGTTGCTCCGATTTCTTTCTTCACTGGCACAACTCATGCATAATCATAGATACTATCACCATTAGTACACCACAATCGCCCGTCCCACCGCACCGACGAAAACAATAGTCGACGATGGCGACCTTCTGCAACTGCAGCTACTCCTACTCTTACTCCTGCCGCTACTGCTTTTGATACTACTGCTACTGCTGCTGCCGCTGCTACTACTCCTCCTCCTCCTCCTCCTCCTCCTCCTGCTGCTGCTGCTGCTACTAATTACT